TCCTCTTCTCTCTTCACTTTCTGCTCTCTCCTCTCTCTCTTCTTCTTCTCTCTCTCTCCTCTTCTTCCTCTCTCTCTTCTCTTCCTTCTTCCTCTCCTTCTCTCTTCTCTCTTCTCTCTCTCTCCTCTCTCTCTCTCTCTTTCTCTCTCTCTCTCTCTCTTCTCTCTCTCCCTCTCCCTCTTCCCTTCTTCCCTCTCCCTCTCCCTCTTCTCCCTCCCTCTCTCTCTCTCTCTCTCTCTCTCTCTCTCCCTCTCCCTCTCCTCCTCTCTCTCTCTCTCCCTCTCTCTCTCTCTCCCTCTCTCTCTCCTTCTCCCTCTCTCTCCCTCTCCCTTGCTCCCTATCCCTCCCTTCCTCTTTTGCTCTTACTCTCCTTCCCTCCACCCCTCCCTCTTTTGCTCTCTCTCCTTCCCTTTATCTCTCCTCCCACTCAGCTCCCGTCTCATCTCCCTCTCTTCTCTTCACCCCTTCCATCTTCCTCTCCTCCTCCTCCTTTTCCTTCATCTCCGCCTGTGTGTGTGTGCGTGCGTGTTTAGATAGGAAGTGGTAGCGCGGTGGCTTCGACCTGACTCCCACGGTCCCCACCTGCCCTTTAGCCTCCCTTCCCACATGGAATCATTCTTCCTTCTGGCTCCTCCTTTCTGGATCAACTTCGTCGGTCTCGCCTTGTGCCTCTTTGCGATGTCTGGTTCGTGGACGGAAATGTGCCAGCGTTGGTTCTTGCACTCTGCTGTTTTCTTCTTTTTCTTCTTCGTTAAGCTAGATTTTATATGTAATTGTTTGATGTCCATATTGTAACAATTGCAGATCCTCGTTTTCTTTTGGACTTCACCCTTGCCTGTTTCGTTTCGTACTTTCCCTACCTTGTAAATTTTGTATTTCCCGCTTCGACGTGCGCCCGTTTTAAATATGGAATAATTGGACACCAGCAAGAAGGACCTCCAGAACATGAAATGGAGAACATAACGCTCGCGTCTACCAAGAGAAGGAATGGTTGGTAACGGAGAGGGAGAAGCTGTCACGATTATGTTAGCCACTGGCTGTTTCCATCATAAGCGTATGGCTTTTCCCCTCTGCTGCCGACCACTTGCGCCTGCTGCCTGCCAACGCCTACTACCTCTGCCGTCTGCCGTCCATCTGACAAGTTAAACGCGGCCTCGGATGTCTCGTTATAAATTGGATTCTCTTTGATCTTCGGTGGGCGTGAACCTGTGCCAGCGCTCAGCGGTAGCACTTGGATGTTCATAAACAAAACGGAAAACAGGCGAATGGAAGAAAGGGACTATGGAGGAACCCATGACTGCCAAAAAGTGTTTTCGATGATTTACGTCAAGAATACTGTCAGAGGAATGAGAGATGCTAACGTATTTCCAAATAAAGATTTCATCACTGCAGCGTTCAGTCTTATGTCGGAAAAGTCTTTGTTTTGGTTTGGGGTTTGTAAATCAACACGCGCGCGCGCGCTCACACACACACACACACACACACACACACACACACACACACACACACACACACACACACACACACACACACACACACACACACACACACACTCATACACACTCATACATATACATGCACACATGTATACATACATACAATACATGCATATACATACACACATACATACATATACATACATACATATACATACACACATACATACATACATATACATACACATACATAAATACATATACATGCACACATACATACATACATACATATACATGCACACATACATACATAAGTGTGAAGAGGGTACCTGAAATGAAAAGTAAGCTGTGAATGGTTTTGAGTTTAGCAACCCTGATGTTAACGGTTCGCTGAAAATACCATTTCCCATTAACGAATAAATAGCATGGTTGAAGCAATAGACCTGCTGATGCTTTTAATACATTAGCTTCAGGCAGTTGTCTTACAAAGACACTGTACAAATTATCTATTTTTAAGATTTTCATATTTAATAGAATAGGGCTTTATTAATAAAGTTAAGATGAATATGTTTATTGTCGTAATAAAATTATATAGATCAACAACAAACATATAGATTTATACATTTCTTTATTTACATTTAGTCTAAAATAATTGTTTGTTCTCTTGTCTTTTCAGGATGACTGTGCCTGCAGTGTGTAACACACCATGCGATTCTTCTGCAGCATGAGTATTTGATACTATTTATAGTTTAATTTATTAAGGATGGATAACCTGTCTGGGCTGTTTGGTGATGGGGACCTGAGTGATCTGGACCTGGGAGGAGATTCCTTTGGTGGTCCCTCGGGTCCCACGCCTGTCTCTGTGCAGGAGATGGACCTCAGCTACAACCAGCCATCATACACCAGTATAGGGTCTGCGGCTGGGGGTCCTCCACCTCAGGGCCCGGGACAGAAGATGGGTATGGGTGGTGGGCCCCCTCCGTCGGCGCAAGGCATGTACCCCGGCCCTGGACCAGGGCCTGGACCAGGACCTGGTTACCAGTATCCTGGAGGTCCAGGCCAACAACAGCCTCCTATGAATCAATACCAGGGTGGTCAGTATCGACCGTCATACCCACCGTCTGGCCAAGAGATGTATGCCCAAACCTGGAACAACCAGCCGGACCCATACAGTCACATGCCCGGAGGTTATCAGCAACAGCCAAATTATCCCCAACAAAGTATGCCGCCATATCAGAACCAAGGCATTACAAACTCCAGCATGGGAGGCACTATGCAACAGAACATTCCACAGAATTACCAGGGCATGCCACCCCAGAGTATAGGTCAGGGTTACCCACCTGGTTCTCAGGGCATAACTTACCAAGGTGCACCAAGGCCACCTTATCCTGGGTTTGATCCCCAGAGACCAATGGCTTCCAACTCCCCAAATATGAGCCCCTACCCAGGGGCTCCCCCAGCACCCGGCCAGCCTCAGCAGTACGCCATGAGTCAGGGTATGAGACAGCCATATCAGATGGGACAGTATCCTCAGGGCCAAGTTCCTATTGGGGGGCAGCAGCAGCCGCACCCAGGCCAGCCCATGATGGGAGGGCCACGACCTCAGGGTGATATGAACCAGTACCCTGGCTCTCAGGTACCTAATGGCACACCAGGCTTTAGAGCATCATTCCCCCAGGCTTCTCCACAGCTGTCACCCCATCCGCAAGCATCACCACGGCCGCAGATGTCCCCGATGCCACGTAGCATGTCACCCCACCCCCGCCCCAATTCTAATCTAGGAATGACTACTCCTGTATCATCCCCTGCGTCCATGCCTCCGTCATCAAGCGCCTCGCCAGCTCCTCTTGGCGGTGCACCAGGATCCAGCCTACAGCAACTTGAAAGTATGGTGAAGCCTGGTAGCGTTGCTGGAAGAAACACACCTACAAGCCAGCGATGCACTACCCCCAATCAGCCTATGCCATCACCTGGTCTGTATGCTGGCTCCTCCGGAGTACCTAGTCCGTTGGGCACCCGACCACCCATGTCTCCAGGCATGGTTAGTAGACCTTCTATGGGTACTCCGATGAGTCCAGGTCTAGGGCCTGGGTCGGTCCGACCTCCCATGTCTCCACAGCAGTGGCAGCAGGCTCGGCCAATGGCCCAACAAAGTTACATGCAACAGAGCAGCTATATGCAAGGAGGCAGTATGGCAGGGCCAAGGCCTCCTATTAGCCAACAACAGTCGCCTATACCAACGCCTCAAGGACAGGACTCTGCAATGCCTGACAGTATTTCTAATGTTAGTGATGGTAGTTTGACTCCGAACAGTAGTACATCAAGTGTGTGTGTGTCTCAGAGTAATGGACCAGTGTCAACTCCAAGTGTCAATACCAGTATAGTGAATAGTGCAGTAAGTAGTTTAGCAAACAGTGAATCTTTGAGTGAGAGTGTTCAGGTGCAAGCCTCTTCTAGCCCAACTACGACTTTAACTACATCAACAGTAAATGGACCTACACAGACAACTTCAGCCATTCAACAACACCAAGCTTCAGCACCCACCAACGTGCCTACCACTTCCACCAACCCTGGAAGTTTGCCAACAAGTGCTGTGAATCAGAATGGTATGATGCCTAGTTTAGTAGCCTCAAATGGCATGCCACCAAGCACGGTCACACCAAACGGGATGCCTCCAAGTAGTATGCCAAATGCGTCAGGACCTGGAATAATGACATCAACAGGCATGCCTCCTCATGGTCCCCAAGGCCCAGGTATGATGAGGTTTCCCGGTCCTCAGGGCCCTCACGGACCATACCAGCAAGTAATGGGACAGCCAGGATACAGAGTTGTTGGCCCAGTGTCCTATGGACCACAAGGACAGATGTCCCCGGGGCAGAGACTTCCGGGCCAGATGCCACCAGGACCTGGTCAGATGCCTCAAGGACCGGGGCAGAGGCCACAAGGACCAGGACAAATGCCACCTGGAGGTCCTGGACAGATGCATCCAGGTCCTGGACAAATGCCGCCAGGAGGGCCAGGCCATATGCCTCCAGGACATATGCCTCAAGGAGCGCCAGGACAAATGCCCTCAGGCGGTCCTGGACAGGGTGCCAGCCAGATGTCAACACCTGGCCAAGTAGCTGGAAAAGGACCTGGCCAGATGGCTCCTGGAGGCCCAGTTCAGATGCAAACAGGAAGTCCAGGACAGATGCCACCAGGTGGACCAGGACAGATGCCACCAGGTGGACCAGGACAGATGCCACCAGGTGGACCAGGGCAGATGCCACCAGGTGGACCAGGACAGATGCCACCAGGAGGACCAGGGCAAATGCCACCAGGCGGGCCAGGGCAGATGCCACCAAGTGGACCTGGACAGATGCAACCTGGTGGACCTGGGCAGATGCAACCTGGTGGACCCGGGCAGATGCCTCCTGGAGGCCCAGGACAGATGCAAACTGTTGGTCCAGGACAGATGCCTCCCGGTGGCCCAGGACAGATGCCTCCCGGTGGCCCAGGACAGATGCAACCTGGTGGCCCAGGACAGATGCCTCCAGGAGGTCCAGGACAGATGCCTCCAGGAGGTCCAGGGCAGATGCCTCCAGGAGGTCCAGGACAGATGCCTCCAGGAGGTCCAGGACAGATGCCTCCAGGAGGTCCAGGACAGATGCCTCCAGGAGGTCCAGGACAGATGCCTCCAGGAGGTCCAGGGCAGATGCCTCCTGGGGGTCCAGGGCAGATGCCTCCTGGGGGTCCAGGACAGATGCCTCCTGGTGTTCCAGGCCAGATGCCACATGGCGGGCCCAGTCAAATGATGCCAGGACAGTTACCAACTAGTGTGGCGGCACAGATGCCCCCAGTTTCGCAAAACCAAGTCCCACCAGGACAGATTCCAACCACACAGATGGGACCTATGGGTCAAATGGGACCAGGGATGCATCCTCAGGCATCTGTAGGTCCTGGCATGGGCCCTGGTCCCCAAATGGGACCTGGTATGGCGCAGGGGCCAATGGGCATGCCTCCGCAAGGTCCTCATGCAATGCAACCCCAGATGAATTTTGCTTTTGAGATTCAGCAGTGCCAGCAGCAGCTGCAGCAACTATACAAAATGCCACAGAATGTGCAAACACAACAGAAGGTAAGCATTACATCAGAACTTGTATATTTATTTTACTTTGTCATTGAATTAGATTAACTTCATAACCAAGTATCAAGAATGAACCTTTTTCTAGTATTGCACATTAGGTGCTTTTATGTTCTCCATCAAGAAGAGTATGCTTAAATCTGCATCAAAAGGTTTTCGGTTTGTACAAGTATCATTTATCCAATACTACAGACTTTACATTATTTGGTTTTCAAAAAATGCTGGTTTAAAATGATGCAACATCAGCTCATTTTGTTAGACATCATAACCATTTGATTATGTTGTCAGGGAATGGAAGAGATATTTGCAATTTCAGGTATGATATGTAAAGTTATTTGATGTGCTAGACATTTTGTGGAACGAGTGTTGTCACTACGAGTTTTGCACTATATATGCCTCCTGCATAAGAGATAGGGAAAGTTGGCTACGCACCTTGCATAGTGTAATACTAATACATATGAGTAATTTTTATTCTACCGAGATCTTAAGTTTTTGACAGACCCCTTGCCAGACAGTCAGGCTACAGTCTTCAAAAAAAAAAAATAATAATAATAATAAAAAAAATAAATAAAATCTACAGAAGTTGATCGATAATTTTCTGAATATATAGTCCTGTGAATGAAGCACCTTCAGGGCGTGTGCCCTGCTTTAGAACACGCACGCGTGAGGACGCTGAGGAAACTGTACCGATATTCTCACGAGATTCTAGAAAATGATAATGTTTTCAAATTGCACAGTATGGATTTATCTATAGTGTCCAAAGACACGGCTCGTTTTTATACGACGTGAATTAGAGTAGATAGTTATTGTTCTGTGTATTTGTGCGCCGCATCTCCATCAGATACTTTGACGGGTCATTCTGAGGATTTACTTCAAGCCGCTTATGAAAAAGAATCATTTGCTGAGCACGTTTTGCAAAAGTAAAAAATAAAAAATAGAAAAACTCAAAATATCGCTTTTTTCTTTTTTCATTGTATAAGACTTGCAAGGCTCAAGAGACCAAACACCCCGCGGCAAAAAAGAGACATAGGAAGAACATTGAGATACGATTGACTGTAGGCAGTGACTGTGCGTAGTGTATGGGTAGACGCTCTCCTCGCTGTTACGCAGGGATCCAACCAATTAGATTGTATATCGATAACAATGGATCGTGGTTAAGTTCTTTTACAGAAGAACTAAGGATCCATTCGTTGCATATTCATCGTATAGTAGTACATGTATCGCTTACTGATACCATCAGTCAAGACTAGCTGTATAACTAGTGGTGATAGTAGTTTTTCTCTTTGTGTTTTATAGAGTATATATCATCATTGTTGTTATTATTGTTGTTGTTGTTGTTATGATTACATATGTCGAGAAATATTACTGAACGAAAATGTGTAGCACCGCAGATATAGGTATTTCATTGCACCACCTTGTTGCCTGACAAGAGACTATACGGACGAGGGAACGCGGGAAGTGTTGTCTAAATCCCCGTCGAAAGTGATCAGTGTTAGCGCCAGCTCTGCACTTCGCGTGCTGCTCCTTCGTAATCGCACCTGTTGAAGGTCTTATTAGGGTCCGTGTGAATGATGAAACGCGCCGGCTTTGTGCGGTTTTATCACTGTTTTGTTTTCATTTCGACTTTCCGGGGATAGAGGCATAATTCACTAAAAGAATATTTGCGCGTTATCCAAGAAATGTATGGATTGTGGAGTCAATGTACCCATCTTTAATTTTACTATTCGCTTTTGTTTTAATTTTACATTTAAAAATGTCATAAATGTTCTATCCTGTTATGTAATTCCCAGCATATATATATATATATATATATATATAATATAATATATATATATATATATATATTAGTTTTTATCTAGTTATCTATTTATTGTCAAACACAAAGGTGTACTTGCCTGTTTCTAAAAGGTAATTAGTTCAGAGCGAAGCAAAAAAAAAGTCTCCCTATGAATGGGGGGACCCAGGTTACAAGCAGCTGTTTGTATGGGCAATTGCTGACTAATGGCTTGCTTGTCAGAACGCATGCGTTGGCCTGTTATATTTCGTTGGGGTGTCGTTTTTATACAGTATATAGAAAAAAATATTTTATAATTGCACGAGGAAAAATCTTACTAAATGGGCAGTCGTGCTTTTATAGAAACTTAAAAAGTTCGAAGCTGACATACGTCATTGGTTGTAGCGTGAAATTTCGTAAGGTAATTTTAGTGCAAATGAAAACGCCGATACGCCAGGCAGGGACAGGGTAGCTGAAGTGACGTCACATACAGGGATAACTATAGTGCACGTGGTATTTTATTTTGTTTTGTATGAAGCGGATTGCACTATCTCTGATTAAGATAATTAAGATTACCTACTGCTAAGCTTAGCTCGGGCGGAATTAGGTGAGGCCACATATAAAGTAAAAGCTAAAGCTAGAGCTCTTTGTACTGTCTTGTGCGTTAATTTCCTCATAATAGCCGCTATCATATTTGCCGACGATTTTCGTGGGTATGGCGGAACGTATAGGAAAAATAACTTGCAGAGAGGTACTGTGGAACCATGGGGACATCCCGAACAGTTTCCTAACAGTATCTTAATGTGAATTATTTTCAGCGTAGGCATGTGGCCTGTCCGTATATCATGACTGTTAGTTCTTTATATTGTAGATGTTAGTTAACGTGCTAGATGTCGACTTAAGAATTTGATTTATTACAGTGATGCTTAATTAGAATAAGATTGCGTCATTATAACGCCAGAAATGGATTATAAGTCGAAAAAGAGGGGGGGGGCTTTCCTTGTACGTCTTTGAGAAGCTTCGCAAATTAGGCGTATGTATTGATTATTCATTGCACAATTGGTTAGTGTTGTGTTTCTTTTGTTTATTGGTGCATGTTCATCGTTCAACATTTCCTTGAATTAAGAGAGACCGAGAGAGTTCCTTGAATTAAGTTTTAAAAAAAAGTCTAGTTGTGTGTGTGGCTTTATATCATATCATGTACAGTATATGCAATTGTACTTGTATACGATATATTGACATCGCTATTGGTGTTATCCTCGATGTAGATGCTAGATACGTTGTTTCGATGGGGAAATTGGACAAAGATCGAGGTTAGTTTTCTGATCACCATTTCAGTTTGTTTCATTGATACTCTTTCGTGTCCACCCGAAGTTTTGCATCATTTAGGGGAAACAAACGTAAAATCTGCATTTTTCTTTTCCTGATTTTGCTCGCAAGCATCTGGTTTGAAAGGTTGCGAACTTTAAGTTTATGTTGAATTAAGCTTACAGGAGATGGTTGGTAAGCCATATGTCTTGTTACTCCACATGGTATACTGTGTGCGCGTGAGGGGGGGAGGGTTGGCTCGGGTAGGATGGTCCCTTATGCATTCATTCATACATCCGCGCAATGCAGACGCGTTGTGCAATTATCGATCGCCATTATAACGGTAATCCTTATCGGAGCCGAAGGGTTTTGACAGGATTTTACAATGGCTGCGTGGCGAGGGTGAAGGGTGAGCCGTTTGTGCCAGGTGGCCGAGTGGCTGTTCCCCCTCTGCAGCCACCCCACCCCCCTCTTCCCACCAGCTGGTCTACGTTGACAGTATGCGTGTGTGTGTGTGTGTGTATGCGCGCGCGAGTTGTTGACCCACTATAGGTAGTAATACTCGAATGAAAGAAGTGTGCGGGCGGCAAACGACACGGTGGTTGTTATGGTTGCTGTGGCGGGAACGTTACACACTAGGCTCGAGGTACGCCAGCGCCAGCTCTAACTTGCATCAGCTTAGTCACACGTTCCTTATTTCTGCCTGGTTATACCATTTATGAACCCGCATATTGTCTCCCCAAACGCTACCATTGATGCGAGTATTCCTCTGCGAGTAAAGTTCGAGCGTCCATAAACTGTGCGACTTACTGAAGGTTAGCATTGGCTGTCTGCTGACCCCTGAAAAAGCGCCTTTTCCACACGATGACCATTACACGCACCGTAAGTATTTCGGTCGAACTTTGAAAAGTTGTTTACTTTTATGGGCGGAATATATGCTGCTTTGCAAATTAGTTTTTAATATTTGTTTTGTGGTTATTTTTTCATCATCGCAAAGTAGCGCGTAATTTTATTTAGATTCGTAAATTTAAATAGGTGTTTCCGATTTCTTAACGTACAAGGTATGGTATTCCTGAAGGTTTTACCCCTGTATCAAGATGATCACTTATCTTATCAGGAAAAGTTGTGCTGGTGCTAGCGTGAGGCTGGTTACAGTTTAAAATGAGCATGTATTTGTGGAGAAGAATTAGCCAGTATCGATGTGTGATAAATTTTCACTGCTTAATAGCAGTGCTGTAGATTTTACGTTTTAAATGAAATGATGAACCTGGAAGTTGTGCGATATTTTGAGATGCATTTGCGGGTTTTGAAATATTGATCTCACGTGTATGTGCGTGTTTTATGTAACACGTTGACATTATCAAAGAATTCACAAGAGTTCTTGGCGATGGTTTTAATTAGCGATCAGTCATTATATTTATCGTATGTTTTTACTTTGAGCAAGGTTGATACACGAAATGTGGCGAAGGTGAATATGAAATGGTCCTCGCATATGTGGTTTAATAATGAAAAAAAAAATATAGAGAATATGCAGCATTGGGACAATTTTTTTTCCTTTGTAAGTGGCGGCAAGGGATTTTATATAAGCTTTTCATATACTCTTTAATCCATAGTTGTAATGTCGTGATGTAAGTTTGCAAGCAAATGGCATGGTTTAGGATATATATAGATGGAGGGAACTGGCTATTATTTTGCCATAATTAGGAAGCCGCTTCTTAATCACGTTTGCGATTCCGTTATAAGTAAGTGGAGCGATGAGTGTCGGGTTCCGAGTTCAGTGTTCCCCAATACAGGTTCTGCCGAGAAGAGGCTCCGGTAGGGCAGCAACTTTGGAAAGAGCGAAAGGTTCCGAAAGCATTAACAATCGTGTGTGTCTGTGTGTGTTGGATTGTATGAGGGAATCTAGTAACAA